ATTCCTGTTAGTAGTTATCGCAATCACCAGACTGATTGTGTCATGTCTCGCTACAGGCGCAAACACTTCAAAGTAATCTAACCCAAGTTTCTGTAGAAATCCTCTTACTACTAAACTTGCTTTGTATTTTCCAATTGATCCATTTGGCTTCAGCTTCACCTTGAAAACCCATTTGACGTTGATGACTTTCTTGTTCTTTGGAAGCTCAATTAACTTCCAAGTCTTATTTCTTTCTATTAGCCTTAAATTCTTCTTTCATGGCTTTTAGCCACACTTTCTTATTGAGCATTTTTCAACACTGATTGGTTTAGAGTATACTAACATGGCACACCAAATGACTTCTTCTTCAGGGTTTACTTTAGTATCTTACAATATGTCAAACTTTGCAAATCTCCTTGGTATGTTTTTTATTCTTTGTGGCCTCTGAACTTGTTCAGAATCATCTTTGGGTTCTGAAACAGTATCAGATGTTGGAACCCATAAGTACCACCTTCAAAGGCATGATCACCTTCAGATTCTGGAATATTCCTAGAGCCTGGATCTCCATCATAGTCTGAATCACCATCAGAATCTGGATCAGAATCAAATTCACCTTCAAAGTCACCTTTAGACTCTGGATCGTCTTCAGACTCACCTTCAGAATCAGCTCCTGATTCTGACTCGTATCCATAACCTTCAGATTTTAAAGCATCTTCAAAAGTTACCTCAGGTGTTAACACTGCACTAGAGTTAGATTGAGATTCACTCCAACCCCATATTTATGATTCTTTCACAATGACATCTCTGCTGAATTCAACCTTGTTAGTGATAGGGAAGTAGAGCTTATAAGCACCTGTATAACGGCACCCTACAAGCAACATAACTCTGCTTCTGTCATCCTCCTTCCTTTAGCATCTAGAACATGTTTGTAGCACACAGAACCAAACACTTCAAGATGGCTTACACTTTTCTTATCTCCAATCCACTTCTCTAAAGGAACAATTTTCTTCAGCTTCTTGGTTGGACACCTGTTGAGAACATATGTTGTCGTGGAAACAACTTCTCCCCCATAATGTGTGAGGGAGTTTCTTCTTATTTAACATGCTCCTCGTTATATCAAGAAACGTTTGGTTTCTTCTTTCAGCAAGACCATTATGTCGAGAAGTGTATGGAACACTCACCTCATGCTCAATTCCATTTTCCTCACAAAATTTTCTAAACTCTATATAGTTATACTCACCTCCACCATCATTTTGAGTATCTTTAGATTCTGGCCACTCTAATTCTTAACCTTGATTCTAAATTTTTTAAATTCAGCAAACATCTCTTGTTTGAACTTTATAAGGAATATCCATGTCATTCTTGTGAACTCATCCAAAAATGACATAAAGTATTTGCTCTCTCCAAGTGAAGGTACTAGAAATGGTCCACACACATCAAAATGCAATGCTCTCAAAGCATGCTTTGCTCTTTGGGCTACTTTTAATGCGAATGATAGTCTTGGTTGCTTCCTTCTCATGCACACATTGCATGGATTTTTTTGGCTTCTTAATTGCAGGAATTCCATGTACCAACTTCTTTGAATTCAAATGCCCCAAGATTCTGAAGTTCAAATGACCAAATCTTTTGTGCCACAACTCACTTTCCTTCACAAAACTTGTTGCACTAAGGCATTCAGAGTTTGCAGTTTTAACATTCACTTTGAATGTTTTATTCCTCCCCTATTCTGACTTTATAATCTGCTTCTGATTACAGTCATACCGCTTCAAAAGATTGTCATTTATGGTAACTAAAAATCCTTTCTCAATTAATTGGCCCACACCCATCAGATTGCTTTTCATGTCAGGTACATACCACACATTCTGAACCAATGTTATTTTACCATTACTCAGAACTACTCTGATATTTCCCATACCTTCAGTGTCAAGGTATTTATCATTAGCACATTTGATCTTTTTCTCTTTCTAGTGTTAAAGTCAACCAACCATTTCTTATTTCTAGTAAGATGATTTGAGCATCCAGTGTCCATATACCACCAGTCTGTCAAATGCACGTCATCAAATTCAGAATTCATCAATAACACAAATTCATCATCAGAGTCTCTTATGGCTACGTTTGCTTCTTCCAACTTCCTTTGCTTGTTTGACCAACAATCAGCAGCGAAGTGGCCAAACTTCTTACAATAGTAGCATTGAACATTTCTCTTGCATACTTCCCCTTCCTTTTTTGAGCACTTTTCTACCTTTCAAAAGTTGAGGTTTCTCACTTCTGAATATCATTAGATCTCTCCATGGCTTGTGACCATGATTGTTTCTGATATTTCTTACCATAAGCTGCTTTCAGAGGCTACTGCTCTACCTCTCTTTTAGAGTTTCTCTTAGTCAGACACAACTCTTATGCCTCTAGACTGCTTTGCAACTCTTCAATTCTCATGGTTCTAAGATCATTATAATATTAAATTGCTACCATAAAGTGATCAATTGAGGAGTAAGAGATCTAAGTACCTTCTCAATGACCTTTTCTTCACTGAGAGTTTGTCCACGCGACTTCATCTCATTTGTGATCAGAATCGCCTTAGCGATGTAGTTAGGTACCTTCTCGTTGTTCTTCATGTTAAAATTCTCATACTGCTTACGTAGAGACTAAAGGTTCACCTTCTTCACTGATGCATCACCATCGTAGCACCGTACCAGTGTGTCCCACGCAGCCTTCGCCATCATCGAATCAGCAATTTTTTCAAACACGTTCACATCCACACACTGACGGATGTAGAACAACGCATGTTAACCCTTCTTCCTCAGATCATACTAGGCATTCCTTTGCGCATTTTTTGCATTTTTTGGAAGGGCAATCGGAACGTAATCATCGTTGATGAGATCAAGAACATCTTGAGCGCAAAACAACACATCCATTAGAATCATCAAATGATTCCAATTCTTGCCATCAAAAATTAGAAGCTTGGTACTCAGATTACTGTTTATGTTCATCTTTGACCTTGTGTAGTTCACTCAGATCTTAGTAAACACTAGTGTTTCTTAATGCCGCAGAATCAAAAAATGTGATTCTGTTACGATTCAGATAAAAAATACAACACGAATTCAAGACACAAAATCAATCACACAACGCCTTGCCGTCCACTCGTGTTTTTCTGTGGATCTGAACCGGAGTTCTAGATACCAATTGTTGATGCACAAGGTTAAAAGGGTGAAGATGAAGGAAGAGGGAGAAGAGAGAGACAAGGGGAGAGTAAGAATAACAAACTCTAACAAACTTCCGCTACTATTCCACTAGCCGTTACATAGAGAATGGTTACTCTACTACTTTTGCGTACAACGCATTTTCAATTACATTCCTTAATGGCTAAGCACACCACTACTTATACATACAAACAAAAGTACCATGTAGGCTAAATATTGAATTACCCTTCAACACATTTCCTTTCCGAGCTAGTTTTTTATTCTATATAAATGAGTCTTGTGCACTCTTCCAAAGGAATGCATTAGGTGTATTTGTTTTCAAGTGATTGTCATGATTGAATTGAGGGAACATGTTGTTAGCTAATCAACCTTAGGTTGTTTAGAAGTTAGTTAATATGATGGTTAGGTAGTTATAACTAGCTACATATGTAGTTACTACTAGTTACGTATATGGTTAGTATTAGTTACACAAGTGGTTAATATTAATTGACTATGTGGTTATTAACTAAAGTTTGTTAGTTAGTAATATAATCATATATAAATGATGCAACACATACATATATTACTTACTAATCATAATAGAATACAATCATAATTTTGACCCCTCTCAATTCTCTCATTATTTTATCTTTCCCTCATTTCTTATAGAATAAGAAAACTCTTGCTCTAACAACGTCAACCTTCACGATTTTCCATATTGATAGAGAAGCGAACCAATGTGAGGATAAAGTGGTAAATGTTAGTTTCTCTGACACTAATGAAGTTTGGTGGGATGATATGTGGTTAATCATTAGGGGAGACTTTATTCACAATAAATTTGAGTGCTCGTCTTATCGTTTCTGTTAATTCTCAAAGAGTTTAGTTTTATGTAGGCATGACAACGCGGCAGGTCGGAAACGGTTTTTACCTCTCTCAAACTCAAACCCAAATTTTCAAACAATCCTTGTTTCCCGTCCCAAACTCCAACGGAAATGAAAAATTAAAACTCAAACCCGTCCCATACGAGTTCGGGTTTGGTTCGGTTATCCCCACCCAACCACCATCCATTTAGAGAAATCAATTTTTTTTGATAAAAATATCTATTTTTTCTAAAATCAAATTACATTACAGATAATAAAATAAAATAAAATCTCAAAAAATTTCATATATACATTTCAAATATTTTAAATAATAAATACAAATTAAAATATCAAAATATTATTTATATATTTAATATTTTAAATTAAAACAACTAAATAATAATATAAATAATAAAATAAACATGACAAATTCGGAGGCGAATACTAGTATTCTTATTACTTGACTCGTCTTCATATTTTATAATCGAAAAAAACTCAAACATAAACTCAAATCTAATTAACACAGATTTTTTCCATTAACTTTCAAATAGATTCGGATAAATAACAGCAGATAGAAGTTATGTGGCGCTACCTAATTTTATGTCACTCAATCCTCTTTATACTTTGAGTCCTTTTTTATTTATATTACTATCTTTAAAAAATACCAATAAAATGTCACATATTTAAACTCACGCATTTAAACTCCGCAAATTAAATGTCTTTGAAGAGTTATCTACTAAACTCATTTAACAAAATGTATAAAGCAAGTAAATTTATTAAAATTAGTTCTAAGTCTCTAAAATTAATTGTGAATAAGTTAGTTACACCAAAATGCATTAACTCCAAAGATTGAAGAAGGTACATAATTAAATAATCACAATCATTTACTTTCACTGTGACTTGACTCTACTTACCTCACCCGGTCAACGGTGGCTGAATGGTGGCGCCACCACCACCACAACCATTCCCGGGCAATTACAGAATTCTATAGAAAAATGAAACATTCCAATGACACGAGTGGATTTTCCAGTGACTCATTATTACAAGACCGTTTACTCTCCATGGCCGGTATCTCCGTTTGCCGTCGTCCTCTCTCCGGCAACGTAGTTCTAGCCCTTGCAACTGGAGATCGATTCGTTCTTCTTACAGGCGGGCTCCGACTCACGAAGGATCTAGCATCACCAGTGTCAACACGTGTGACCGGTGACCGAGACTGTCGGCAAGAATTCTCGCCGGGTTCTCGCCGGCGACGTATTCCCTCTTTGACCATTTTCTGACCCGGTTGGTCTCTGCACTGAATCAACCTCACAGACCCTAATTTCCTCGAACCATGAACCATTCTATCTCTTCTGTCGTCAATATCACCGGGAAAGGAACAGTTTTTAAGCAACTTGATCGGAGATCCGTTAACCCTTTTGCCGGCTTTTTCTGGAGTAGTTGCAGGAATGGTTTTTCTTAACCTGTAAATTTCTGAGGTATTATAGCCTTTGTTGATGAACAATGCTTGTTTCTCGTGAACCTTGGTGTCTTCTTCTTCTGTGAACTTGTGAAAGGCCTTAATGTTTCTATGTGGCTTTGGTGGTTCTGGTTTGGGGGTTTCTGTGAGTACTTCCTTCACTGTTTCTTCCTCTACGAGAAAGGTTGTTTCATTGTTTTGTGAAGGTTTTGGTGGTTGAATGATTGGTACAGATGAAGAGGATGAGGCTTTATAACTGCTCACACAGCTACCCATTTAGATTTCTTTTACAGGAAAAGAAAAACAGTGAAGCAAGTTGAGATCAGGTTGAAGGGTTTTGAGATTTCCTCAAGGAGTAGCTTTCATAATAGTACATTCTATAATTAGAGGGACAAAGAGCTCATGTTAGCTTTTAATAGTGGGTGTTTGGTAGGTGTGTGCAACTGCAAGGGAGTGCATTTATGGGGATATATCTACCTGAATTTTAGTGGGAAACCATACATTTTTACATAAACTCCCTCTCATCAATATTATGAACGAAAGTCTATTTTTAGTTTGTAAGATTGTTCTCCATTGATTAAAGAGTATATAAATGAGATGGAACTTTACAAACATCAATGAAAATATACTTGGTGTAATTATAGTTGAGATGGTTATAATTGTTGCAACAATTAGAATTTTCAACAATGAAGAAGAGAGATAGAAGCAAGAGAAAAATTATATGTGAAAGAGAGAATTTTATTAAAATGAAGTTGTATATATATGATTTACACCGTTACTTTTATATATATATATATATATATATATATATATATATATATATATATATATATATATATATATATATATATATTTGTAAATGTGTCTTAAAATTTTTGTTGATGAAGAGAAATAAAATATATTTTGGAGATTGCATTTACCGTGAAAATCGAAAGTTTTAAAACGTTGGACGAAAATTCGATAGAAAAAAAATTGGTCGGTGAGTAGTCGTCAGGGAGCAAACTGCGATTGCTATGTGAGCAAAACTTGAATCATTATATATGACAAAGTCTTTGGCTCACAGGTTGTATCTGAAACAACAACTCTATTCATTTCGAATGGTGGAGAACAAATTCATAGTTAAGCAGCTCATAGAATTTCACAAGATTATCGATGATCTTGAGAATATTGAAGTGAAGATTGATTATGAGAACAAGGTTTTACTCCTGTTGAGTTCATTACACAGATCCTTTTAGCACTTTAAGGATGTCCTTCTTTATGGTAAGGAAGGTACTATTACTTTGGATGAAGTCCAGATGGCGGTGAAATCCAAAGAATTTTCAAAGTAGAAAGATTTGAAGATTGAAGATAGTGGTGAAGGTTTAAATGTGTCAAGAGGAAGAGGTGAGCGTAAAGGGATGTCCAAATCAAAGAGGTTTGACAAGTCAAAGGTAAAATATTTTAATTGTCAAAAAATTGGTCACTTTAAAAGGGATTGTCCTGAAAGAAAGGTTAATCAAGATTTTGTTCAAGTTATAGTTGCATTGGGTGAGGAAAGTTATGAGGATGTTGAAGCACTAGTAGTATCGAGTTTGAAAACTGAAGATAGTTTGGTCATTGACTCAGGTTGCTCTTATCACATATGTCCAAGAATAGAATACTTTGAAACTTTGAAGATGGTGCAAGATGGAGTAGTTCACCTTATAAGGCATGCAAGGTTCATGGTATTGGTACGACCATATTTAAAATGTTTAATGATCGTGAACTTCTTATTCACAATGTAAGGTATATTTCAGAACTCAAGCGAAATTTGTTATCTATAAGTATGTTTAATGATCTAGGCTATTGTACTAGAGTTGAACGTGGAGTGTTGAAGATTTCGCGTGATGAATTGATTATTGCTAAAAGGTATAAAATATGTGGTCTATATTGTTGCACCCTAAAATTTGACCAACCGGTTCTCTTATCTGGTTCGTGGTTTAAATTCGTATTCGCATATCAGATGCATGACATTTGTGCGCAGACAGAGGATGTCAGGGTTACAGCTTGGTTTTCATCTACCGGATATTTCAGATCCAGTCTAGATAATCAGGGTTTTATTTTCGGGAAATTGTGCGCTTCTCGGTGTTTTCAGCTTACATGGTGGTTTTTGGGATATTCTGATGCCAGGGGTTTACTGTCTGCGTCGATCTGGTCTCGCGCTCGCTTTTATGTCGATTATTTGCCTTTGTTTGCATTTTTTAGGGTTTAATAGCCTTTTGTGGATTTTTAATAGGCTTTATAGATTTTCTAGGATTTAATTAGATTTTTTTCAGCATTTTTAAATAGCTTTAAACCTTTTTTAGAATTTTTAAATTGTTTTAATAGATTTTAGAATAAATTTCTTTTTAGGTATTAAGTTTTTAGATAAATAGAATATTTCTCTTATTAGGTTTTTTAAGTAGAAATTAAATAGTATAGATTTTTATTAGAGATTTAATAGGATTTTAATAGATTTTTTTAAATAGAAATTCTTAGAGCTTTTTATTAGTTTAGATATTAGTGGAATTAGTAGAGCTTTATTAGTCTAGAAATTAATTAGGTTATATAGAATTTAATTAGATTTTAATCATCTTAATAGAGGTTAATTAGGATTTAATCTTTTGTTTAGATTTTATTTGAATTTGTTAGAATTAATTAGGTTTAGTCAGATTTAATTAGCTAATTAGGTTTAGTCAGGTTTAATTAGTTTTCAATTAGGATTAATCTTTTTTAATTCAGATTTCAGTCCATTGTCTTTTTTTCGTGGGCCCAGTATGGGTTTTTGGAGGCCCAATATATTCGGTCCACGTTTGTTCATTTTTGTCCAGAAATTGTAGTGCCAGGTGTCGAATATATAAGCGTGACACGCGTTCAGATGCAGCGGTCCCACCTCACAATTCCAGGTTCCCACACACTGACACCTCACCCAGACTCCACCCTCTCTCTCTGCGCCACGCCACCCTCACCACGTGCCCTCCTCACATCTTCCCTCTGCATGCAAGACTGCCACACGTCTGTCCCTCATCCTCGCCGGAGCACCCCACCGCCGGCCATGCAAATCCGTTAACCCCCCACCGCCGGCAACCCTAACCGTCACCGGACCACCGCAACAACCCGCCGGAGCCACTTTTTTGCCCAGAATCCTCACATCTTCTTCTTTCTCCCCCAATCTTCCCCGTCCCTCTTCATCTATTATTCGCCGGAGAACTCATACTACTCGCCGGAAAATTCATGTGTACGCCGGAAAACTCATCAAACTCAAGAAGCTTCATCCAGATTTCCAGACTCGTTCATCATACATCACGAACAAGAGGTTAGGGAAGAAGTCTGGTTTGAGGTGAGCAGTTTAGGGATTAGAGAGAGGTCGTTTGAATTCGTGAATGGAGCGATTAGGGTTTGAGAATGTTTTGAGAGGATTTCTCAGAGAGAGGTTGGGAGCGGCGTGTTAGGGTTTAGGATGATGAATAGTGAACGAGAGGTTAGGGAAGAAGTCTGGTTTTGTTAGTCAGTAATTGGGTTAGGGTTTTGGATTGGGTCAAAGCCCAAGTCTGGTTTGCTGAAGCGCATACCCCTGTTACTCGTTGCCCCCCCCCCCCCCCCCTTTGTGTGAAAGGCTGAGTGGATTTAGGGTTGGGCCTTTGCCCTAATTGCTGGGCGCACCCCCCGTGTATGGGCCCTATGCTGAAACAACTAGAGTTGTTGCTATCGCTGCACCCCCCCCCCCCTTTTGTTTATTCTTTTTGTTAATATTTCTTTGTTTTGTATCATGTTAGAAAAAAATGCATAAAAAATAGTAGGAGTGTCCAATTAATTCCCTTCTTTTTTCTGTAGGTTCCTAATTCAATTTAGAATTTTATAGTGCAAAAATATTGAATTGATCATGCATTTTCATTTTTATTTGCATTTTTGTATTTTAATTGGTATTGAATAGTTGGTTTGTGATGTGTCTGCCTTGCTGATTTTAGTTCTCTCATTTGGTATTGATTTTTGCTTTAGTTTTTTAGTATGTTATACTAGACTAATGCATGATCCCCATAGGATTTTTGTGGATTTTTTAGAGATTGATTGATGTTGTTTTAGGGTTAGAGAGTAGAGACCTCCTAACTTGCCGGTTAACCCTTGACCATTCACATGTTAGGGATTGTTTAGTAGCCTTAGAAGTTGACTTAGGCTTTGAGATTTGATCTTGGGATCATAGAGCCATATAGGTTTCCCCTAGATTTTTGGTAGATTTTTATAGAGTGTTTTGCTATTTTTGGCTTGAGCTTGAGAATAGGAGAAGTCTTGATGGCTTCTGACTTTGAAGTTCAACTGTGGTTGAACTTCAGAGATAGTTTCTTTTGGTTTGAGGGCCTGTGGTTTCTTCTTGAAGATGGAGGCTGGATGAAGTCTTGATGGAGCTTGCAAGGATGCATGGATTGAGGTCCTAGTCTAGGAGCTTGCTCTCTTTCTGTGAGGTTTGAGACCCTGAAGTTTGAGGGAAATTCATGGTACTTTCCTGAGGAAGGCACTATGGATGTCTTTCATTCTTTCTTCTCACCTCTTTCTCAAGTATCCAATGATGTTGGAGCCTTCATGTGAGTTTAGTTTCTCCTGAGGAGGAATGTAAACCGATCACAGTTGTTGAGCCACATGGGATATGATTCCTAAGTGGAAGCCCCCTAGTACTTTCCTGAGGAAGGCACTATGGGTCTGTTCACTTAGTTCCCTTAGTTCATGTAGGATTTCTCAAGTATCCAATGATGTTGGAGCCTTCATGTGAGTTTAGTTTCTCCTGAGGAGGAATGTAAACCGATCACAGTTGTTGAGCCACATGGGATATGATTCCTAAGTGGAAGCCCCCTAGTACTTTCCTGAGGAAGGCACTATGGGCCTGTTCACTTAGTTCCCTTAGTTCATGTAGAATTTCTCAAGTATCCAATGATGTCGGAGCCTTCATGTGAGTTTAGTTTCTCCTGAGGAGGAATGTAAACCGATCACAGTTGTTGAGCCACATGGGATATGAGTCCTGAGTATAAGCCTCCTGGTACTTTCCTGAGGAAGGCACTATGAGTCTGCCTACTTAGCTCCCTTTCTTTGGTAAGCTTGTATTGAAGCTTGAAGACTGGGATTGATTTCTCTTGTGTGTAGGGTTTTGCATAGGGCTTTGCTTAGAGATTTGTGTAGAGTTTTGCTTTAGGGTTTTGCTTAGATATTTGACTAGGGTTTTTGCATAGGGCTTTGCTTAGAGATTTGTGTAGAGTTTTGCTTTAGGGATTTTCTTAGATATTTAACTA